CAAATTGTCTTCAAATTCCAACGAAATTTGGTGAAAAATTACGAAAAAATGGCTTGAATAAAAAATCCATGAAAAAACTGTGCGGCGCCTTTGCACGCCCACAAAACCGCGCCTCAAAAAGGGGCGGAGCGTCTCGACAGGTTGTTTACTTCTTTGTGTGTGCGTTCATCCGCGCGATTGTTTTGAATTGACAATAGCCAGCTTAAAGGCGCATAGAGTACACAGAAATGCGAGTGGAGGGTAATAGGTCATTACGCATTTAAAAGCTGGTAACAAGTTAATTATGAATATGTAACTTTTTTTTGAGATAATTGAAATTTTTGGACGAACTTCTGATTTTTAAGATTTCAAACTTTTTTCACAAAATTGAGTTTTTGAATTTTCTGCATTTGTTAGGTGCGTTTCTGAGCATTCTAGCGTAGAGCATACTGTTCAGTTTGGTAGGAGCTTTTAAATGAGTATAATCATGACCAGGCTTGCTCGGAGTCGGAAAACGGATAATCTGATTTTTTTTTTTCGGAAAATTTTCCGAAAAAATAATCGGATAATATTTCCCGACGGGAAATTTTCCGAAATTTGTTTCGGAAAAAAATTTCCGACTTTTTTCAAAAAAAAAAAACGTTTTATGGAAATTATGGAACGTTCAAGGCACATCAGCGTTATTTGTGTTGATTTTCGCGGTTTTTAACCTTTAAAGGTGGGGGGACAGGAGATTTTTCGTAGTTTTTTTGTAGCTAGAGTATGCATTCTACCGTGACGGTGTACAACGCTTAATGTCACTCTGCGTACAGCTGTCGTCCTCGCCTTTATGTATGCAATCGGGCGTGCGCTTTCTCTTTGCCCGCGTGGCTCAGTCGGTAGCGGCGCCGCACCCTCAATCATCGCCTTCACAAGTTCAACTCCTCGAGGGGCATATTTAAACGGAATTTCGAGAACATTATTTTTTTCATGTCCCCCCACCTTTAATTGTCAGTTACAGGAACAAAAAATTAGGTTTTTCGAAAAGAAACATCGGGAAAAAGTCGGAAAAAATTTCGGATATCCGATTTTCCGAATGGGGTTTTCCGAGCAAGCCTGATCATGACCTAATCACCTCATTTTCAGTTTTTGGGGTACTGTAGCTAGCCTTAAAGGCGCACAGGGTACTGAGTAATGCAAGTAGAGGGAAGTAGGTCATGAGTATACTCATTCGAAAGCTGGTGACATCCTGATTACAACCATTTTTCTCAATTTTGACAAAAGATTTTTGCATTAGAGCGAACTTGCCGAAATTCAAAATTCAAAAACATTTTAGCGCAACTCCTTCGAACAACTGTGGATCAACTTTGTCAATGAAAAGCTGCAACAATTCTTTAACCATCACATGTTTGTTCTGGAACAAGAAGAATATCAAAGAGAGGGTATCGAATGGACCTTCATCGATTTTGGATTGGATTTGCAGTCTTGTATCGAGCTGATTGAGAAGGTAAGAAATTTCTCTCATGTTGAGCTCAATTATCTCGGTTGTGATAAAAGATAACAAAACATTGCAAACTAATACATTATGTAAAATTTTATGGCAAACATTTTATTAATTTACAATCTGTTGATATCTTAATTAGGAGGTGAGATAATTAAGCTCAAAGTTAAGTACCCGTATTTTCGTCAAGTTGAAGGGTACTCAACTTTGACTCCCATTATCTCGAAAACTAATACAGATATCCAAAAGAAATAAACTAATAAAATGTTCATCATAAAATTTTACACATTTTATCAATTGACACATTTTTTATATCCATTATAGGAACCGAGATAATTAGAGTCAAAAGACGGGACAGGGCTCTAAAAACGAAATTATGATAATTCAGCCCCTGGGAATCGTCTCAATGCTTGATGAGGAGTGTATCGTTCCAAAAGCCACTGATATGACATATGTCGACAAACTGCTCACTCAACATCTCGGAAAACATCCTAACTTCCAAAAAGCCAAACCTCCAAAAGGCAAACAAGCTGACGCTCACTTTGCCATTGTTCATTACGCTGGAACTGTCAGATATAATGCTGAGCAATGGTTGGATAAGAATAAGGATCCACTCAACGATTCGGCTGTTGCCATTCTGAAGACAAGTGATAAGGAAGGGGTACTGTATCAGCTGTGGGAGGACTATCAGACTGATGTCGATCGAGAGGAGAGTGAGAAGCGAGGAAAAACGACGCAAGCGAAGAAGAAGGGAAAATCGGCATCTTTCTTGACGGTGTCTACTATGTATAGAGAGTCTTTGACTTCTCTAATGACTATGCTTCATACAACGCATCCGCATTTTATCAGGTGAGCTTTACAAAGGTCAAAATCAGAAAATGCTGATGCCATAGTGGTTGAAAAACCACCAAAAAACTATTAGGAGGGGGAAGGAATTGAACTCAAGACCCTTAGATTCAAAGTCAGCATTGTTAGCCATTAGGCCACGCGACCCCATGATGGCAGCGCTCCGCGCCGCTCACCCGCCACTCCTAAAGAAGCCTCCGCCACCCCCTTTTTATATGCCTTCCCACACTCTCTATCAACCTGTCGCCGTGGCCTTGTGACTAGCGCTGCTGACTTCCAGGCGAACACTGATTGGTTCGACTCCCACCCCCTCTGAAACTCTTTTTTACTCTTTTTTCTTGTCTAGATGCATCATCCCTAACGAAAAGAAGACGTCTGGACTCATTGACGCACCTCTAGTGCTCAACCAACTCACATGCAACGGTGTTCTGGAAGGAATTCGCATCTGTCGAAAAGGGTTCCCGAATCGTATGATGTTCGCGGACTTCCGCTTCCGCTACGCAATTTTGGCTGCCGATGAGGCGTCGGAGAAAGATGCGGCGAAGGTTTGACTTTAAAAAAAGGGAAATTCGCTCTATGGATAATCTTCCAGGCTTCCAAGGCGATGCTCCGTAAGCTGAGCAAGAGCAATCAATTGAATGTGGACACGTTCAAAGTGGGAACCACGAAGGTGAGAGGGTTACTGTAGCTTATCAAATTTCAGACTATTTTAAAGGTGGTGTGCGGTGAAAAATTTTATTGCTTTATTTTGTGCAGAATTCCATGTAGATCCCCATAAAAATAAAGAAAAAAATTCAAAAAAAATTCCTTCATTGAGAAAAACGGCATCGAAAAGTCAAAGTGGGAACCGGTGGCCTAGCGGCCAGGTGTGAGTTTTCTAGGCCAACTGCCGGTAAAAGCGCGCGAAATTCGAATTTTTATTGATTTTCAGTGTTTTCTCTGATGTCTTTTAAACATTTCAAAATGTTTTT